GAGACTTTACACTCCTTTAGCTTGCTTTGAATGCTTTCAGTCATTTCAGAGAGTACTGCTGCTTTCCTGTCTCCCATGCAACTCTTGTTTCCAGCAGTATCTGCCTGAAAACGAAGGAACCACAGGGCTGCCAGAGCAAGTTACAGCTGCTCAAGACAGGGCCATTTTCTGATCTGTCTTTGCCAACACCAACTGGGATGCTGGCAGCAGTGACATGTCAGAGCCTGACAGCTTTTCTGCCCACCAAAGGCACAACCAGATTAAACAGGAGGCAGCAGCAAAGGCGCTCGGTGCCAAGGGCAGCACAGACTGGGTGCCAGGCAGCAGCACCAGTTTTGCCTGTCACCCCTTTTCTAGCCCCAGAAGAAGAGATCCACCTCCGCCCCAGAAGCCTGAGTCACTGCTTTGGGTAAGGGGCCAGGGCCGTTACTCAGAGGGTGACAGCAGTGTCCCCGGGAGCTGGGATGCCAAGCCAAATGCCAGAAACCTGAGTCAGAGCCTGACTGCTGCAAGTCAGGGTGACACACAGCAGAGCTGGTCCTCTGACCAGCAGCATTTACTGGACAAACATTCAGGCACACACTTAAATACAAAAAAGTTAAGTCTGAACTAATCTAGCAGCACAGCCCTAACTGTTTGTTAGTGTAGGATCTTTTACAGCCCCTCAGAGCAGAGGCTTATTACAAGTGAAATTCTTTAACTAGGCTGCCCTGTCTATTCAGAGCCACCAAGCCCAGTCCCATCACAAGAGTCTCATTCTAGTGCAAATCATTTGAATTCTTAATCTCAAGCATTTGCATTCCAGCGAGTCTCAAACAAACAGCCACACATGCTCCTCAACAGCAGCCCGGAGGTCAGGCGTGTGCAGGGTTTGTCCCCTCGGTTTTGTAGTGCTTCAACTGCATCAGCTTCTCGTTTGAGGTTGCAAAAGCAGCACAGCTCAGCTGTTGTTACAGGGCATAAAGGAACAGGATGTACTGAGCAGAAGGGGAGAATGCAGCTGCGAGACCTAAGAGCAGGTTCAAGAGGATAAATGTGAACTCAAGAGTTAGGAAGTGTTTTGAAGGATGGATGCTGCGTTTAGTCTGGCCAAAGTGATCACTGGGGAGCTCTGCAGCATCACAGAGCCACGATAACTTCATCAAGAAATCTTACAATTTACATGGCAGACCGTGGAACCACAGGCTACGATGCCACCCTTACAGGTACAGATACTATCACTAATCAAAAAGTCTTTAAACCTGAGTCCATCAATCCATTCACTTGAGGAAAAACAACTTACACACAAAATACAATACAATCTAGTGGTACCTTATAGTCAAGAGGATTCAAGCAACCAGGATATTTCTAACAGGGCATTGACCAACTCCAGGAGTCCAAAGGGAAGGAAAAGTAGCTGTAGGAGTTGTGCTGAAGCCTGCAAACTGAGCAGCAAGTCAGTGTGCCCCCCCCCCCCCCCCCCCCCCCAATCATCAATTGGAAAGTCAGGTTAGCAGCTTCCAGCTTGTGGTGGAAATGGACACAAGCGTTTTGAAAAGGCAGTACGACACTACAGGAAAATCATGGCAAGGACACATTAGGCTCTAGTTCAGGCATTTGCTAGCAAATGCCCGCCCCAAGCCATTCAAACAGCTCAAGGCAATAGCACAGCCATTAACAGAGGCTTGGAAGGGAAGGAAGAGGGGAAGACACATAGGAAAAACATTTTCCCTGTTACTAAACTGGATGCAGGCCTTCGCAGGATGTCAAAGTGCTGAGACCTTGGGAGAGAGCAATCAGAGGGGCAGGAAAGAGGGCAATGAGGTTGGCTAACAGCCTTTACTTCCCAGGGTGAATGAGCCTCCGGTATCACAACTCTGAAAAGTACCAAGTTCAGCCCCAATTTGCCTCTTGCGCAAGATGTTCGGGAAAGAGCTGAAGCACGGGAAAGCACTCCAGCATGGGAGCTGGCAGCATTTGGGACAGATGAGAGCTGGGCAGCAGTGCCTTTCCCAAGTGCTGCAGGGTGACTGTTCCTACCCATGGGAACCTCCACATCCAAGGTGCTCAGCTGTGGAGGGACCAAGCAGCCCTGAACCCCAACCCAGGAGCTGCACATGCAGTTCAAGAAAGTACAAGGTGCTAAAGAAGTTGTTTTTTCCTACACATTACAGTCATTTCATCCCAACAACTATAGGTTTGACTTCAGAAGTCATGAGCTCCTTCTCCTTAAGGGCTAAGGGACATTCCTTCAGACACTGTCATTTTGCTGCTCTGTGTTTTAGAGAGACTGAAGCAAAGCAAAGAATTGCTCTAGATACGAGCATGGCAAATAAAGGTAAAATAAAGTAAAACACGCAGATAGCAATGTCTTGATTTGATTGGGAGGGACAGATGAGAAACCGGGCAAAGAGCAGAAAGAACAGGCCTCGGGGATCAATGGCAGCAGGACAAGCCAAACCGGTTTTAACATTAATAATGCTGCACTACTTTCCAAACACAGCTATCATCAACAAGACACCAGCTTTGCCAATCAGGAGGCCTCTGAGCATGATTGCTTTAGACCAGCAAACAGAGCCCACAAACAGCACGAAGCCTCCCCCACCTCTCCCTAAGCAATCCTCTGCCAGCAGCTTCTGGGTTGGATTTGTGTTCCTCTGTCCTGCTGAGGACACACAAACACGATGTGGTGCTGCATGAAGACTTTTTCTGCATAGTTCAAGGCACAAAAGTAGGACAAGTGCAACAAGCCTGCAGCCCACTAGCACTGCTATAGCCCTGCTGGGCTCCGGGCACTCGGCCCTTTTGCAGCCCAAACTGAGCAGAGCCCAAGCCTGCAGCAGAGGGAATACCTTTACCATGGGGGAATACCCCCTGCTCCCCTCCCGTGCTGCCAGGGACACTGCTGGATGCTAAATGCACAGGGAAAGCTCAGCAACACCACTCTGTCCAAGCAAGGCAGACCTCACAGCCTTTGTTAACTCCACTGATGCCACATCTTGGATGCATTGGTGACTTTCTGTCCATCCCCCCCTCAAGCATCTTCTGCAGGAAGCCCATCCTCGCAGAGCACAGAGGGGAGCATCCTGCCCACACATCCTTTGCTTTCCATGGCACTCGAGCGGAGAGGGCTGGGGACCACCTGGTGACATCGGGCACCAGCTCCAGCCCCCCGGCCCCACGGGAAGAAGGCAATGATCTCACACAAAGCTGCGGGGCTGTCCTAACACAACCCACCCACCCACAGCCTGAGCTCCAACGTCACACTGAGGCACTTCAGTAATATTCCCCACCCTCTTACACATCCAGGATTGCTTCACACGGAGAAATCCCATTTACACCAGAAAGCTGCTCAAGGGGAAAAGAGCCAAGGCACTTTTGTTTGTACAGGCTTGGGGAAATATTCAAGCACCGAATCACTCTCAACATCCATGCTCTTACATAAGCACAAGAAATACAATCCCCATCTTGTTAAGAAATAGCTACCTGTCTTCACCCTGCCCGCATAGAAAAACCAAGAGCCACATGCTGTGCAGCCCTGCACGTTTTGGCAGTGCTATTAAAAAAAAAAAAAAAATACGGGAGGAGTGCCAGCAGACCTCTCCCAAGCCGTGTGTCATCCTTCTCTCCTCCCCGGCAGCGTGTAACCCAAACAATTTGTTTGGATTAGGCTTTATAGTAGGCCAGTGTTACTGCTCAAGCATCCACTCAAGCTTAGGTAGTTTAAAAGACACGAATAAATATTCCACGTAAATTCTATAAAAGTATTTACACACCACATCTGCGCAAAATTTGTTGTCTTTGCAGAAACCCGATGCTTGCAGACCAGTCCAGTCCCCAGGGACACCAAGTTGCATTTCATACCAAACATGGTCAGTGCAACTTCCAGATGCTGTCTGCCCCAAAGGTTTGCCCTACCAGTTTGGGCCAGTTCCCAAACGACCGATTCACGTGCTTAATGGCAGGGATAAACACACCAGATTAGAGTTAAGTGGATTTGGGCTGCTTGGTTTTAGAGAGTAGCTGACAACTACTACAGATGCTCTCTGTGGGAGATTCCTGCTCTACAGTCAGCAGCCCCCAGCCCCGTGCCCCTGCTAGAAAGCAGCAGAGCCTTATCAGTTCTGATCTGCCCACCCAGCCTTCAGTCCAAAAGAAACCAATGTGGATGATTAAACCTACTTTGGGAATCCCTGATCTCCTGCAGTTACCTTAATCTCAGCAGCTCTTTCACACTAAGAGAGGAATCTGCCCTGATTGCACTATCAGCAAGATGGTCACACACAAAAACAAACAAACAGCAGGGAAGCCAGAATCCCCAGATCTCTGCTCCACCACGAAGACCCCACATGTGCCGTCTTGAAGCATCCAAAATGTTTCCCCTCATTATATGTTTAAGAGATTTTTAAACTCTCCAGGGTAATGCATCACTTTTCACTCCGATGTGGGAGCGAGGAAGGTTTGATAGACACAGACACCAGGTACCAGCACAACCAGGTAAGGCTGGAAAGCCTACCCAGGTACGGCTGGAAAGCCTATCGAGGTACTGTAACGCATCCAAGAAGAAAAAAAAAAGAATTAAAGGACTTTCACGACCCGAAGTTGAAGATTAAAATCGCAATGGAGAGCAGCTGATATCCAGCAGGTAGCCGGGGCCCCTGCAGTGCTGCAAGCCCAGCACCCCGAGCAGAACGGGATACGTGAGGAGCGGCACAGCCGCGGGGACAGCGGGCACCGGGCACGGCCGGGCCGGCGCGGCGCTGCCTTGGCATCCGCCGGAGGAAGCAGCGTCCGAGCCAAGGGAACCGGAGGAAGAACGGGAACGTCCTACGGCCGTCTCCCACCCTTCCCTTCCCCTGGAGAAGGGCAAGCAGCGGGGGCAGACCGCCCGGGGGGCAGCGGCTCTCAGGCTGCTGGCGAGCGGGGCCCGAGAGCCGCGGGTCACCCATCCCCCGGGCACCGGGAGCCCTTGGCTGCCGGGGCAGAGCTCCCCTTTCCCGCTGTCCCCCGGCGGGACTCACCGACTCGGCGGCGGCGGCTCGCAGGAGGAGGCCGAGCAGCAGCGCGGCGCGCAGCGGGACGCGGGGCAGCGGCATGGCCGGGCCGGGCTGGGCTGTGCCGGGACACGCGGAGCGACGAGCGGCGGGTCCCACCGGAGCGAGCTCTGGCCGTGCCCCGCCGCTTCACCGCCCTTATAGGGCCGGCGGAGCGCACGGGGGCGGAGCGGCGCTGCTCCCGCCCCGCCGGGAATGCCCCGGCCGCGCACCCGCCGGCACCGGGCTGCGAGCCGCCCCGCCCCGCCCCGGCACCGGGGTGAGAGCCGCACCGCCCCGCACCGGCACCGGGGTGAGAGCCGCACCGCCCCGGCACCGGGGTGAGAGCCGCACCGCCCCGGCACCGGCGCTTCGAGCCGCCACGCCCCGCACCGGCACCGGGGTGAGAGCCGCACCGCACCGCCCCGGCACCGGGGTGAGAGCCGCACCGCCCCGGCACCGGGGTGAGAGCCGCCACGCCCCGCACCGGCACCGGGGTGAGAGCCGCACCGCCCCGGCACCGGGGTGAGAGCCGCACCGCCCCGGCACCGGGGTGCGAGCCGCCAAGCCCCGCACCGGCACCGCCCCGGCACCGGGGTGAGAGCCGCACCGCACCGGCACCGGCACCGGGGTGAGAGCCGCACCGCCCCGGCACCGGGCTGCGAGCCGCCCCGCCCCGCCCCGCACCGCCCCTCACCGGCACCGAGGGTGCGAGCCGCCCCGCACCGCCCCGGCACCGGGGTGAGAGCCGCCATGCCCCGCACCGGCACTGCCCCGGCACCGGGGTGAGAGCCGCACCGCCCCGGCACCGGGGTGAGAGCCGCACCGCACCGGCACCGAGGGTGCGAGCCGCCCCGCACCGGCACCGGCACCGGGGTGAGAGCCGCCCCGGCACCGGCCCCGGGGCACGCCGTGCGGCTGACAGCCGAGACACCGCGCCGGGACACCGCGGGACACGGCCCGCGACCCCCTGTGCACGGCCGGGACCCCCGCACTGCCGGCGGCCACGGTCACTGCGTTACGGGGGAGCGGGCGGAAAGGAGAAAGGGAAAGGGGAGAGAGGGAAAGAGAGCGGCGGGGAGAAATGGGGAGGGGGGAGAAAAGCGAGGGAAGGGGGAAAAGGAAGTGAGAAAGGGGTCAGGAGAAAACGAAAGGAGGAAAAGGATGAGAAAGGGGAGGGAGAAGTGACAAAGGGGAAGGAAAGCGAAAGTGGGGGGGAAGAAGTGAAAAGGGGGGAAAAGGAAAAAAGGGAAGGGAAAGCGGGGGTAAGAAAGAGGAAAAGAGAAAGTGGGGGGAGCGGGCACACAGCATGCGCTTTTGCAGCATTCCACAAGTGACAATCTCGCATTTACAGAAAATCCTGTCCCTGGCAGCGTGTCGCCGCCGCGGTTATCCGGCGGGGTGTTGCATCACGGCTCTCGTCGGGGATGGAACACGAAACCGCTCCCTCAGTCTTCTGTGGAAGCGGCAAGCGCAAAAACCCACACTGATAAAGAAGCGCGAGGGGGGAACCCAACAGCACAGTTTAACTATTTCCGTTTCTCTTTTCACATTAATAACTTTGCTTGGCTATAAGAATTTGCTTGACAATATCTATTTCGGCCCCTTGACCCGAGGGGCACCTGCAACACCATAATACTACAGCCCCGTGCTCATGCTGCAGCCACATCAATTTGCACTTGGGTTCTAGTTTGTAGACAAAAAAATATTTTCTTAGCAGGGAAGCAATGCATAGCAAAGCATATGTGCCATGATCCCACCTGCCAGGAATGAATGCCAGCTCCTCTCGGTCTGGTTCTCAGCCTCCTCCAGCACTACAAAGTTACTGGAGAGAACTTGTAGCCTTCCCCCTGTCCCACCTCCAACCAAAAAGATCCCGAAGGTGAAGCAGCTTTCCCAACTGCCTGTTCCTTTGGGAATAAACAGCTGCAGAGGGTGTGAAGTGAGATCTAGACGTGTCCTCAATGTTTGCTAGGACTGTGCCTAGGCACATGTCCACAGGCAGGAGGGATCCGTGCTGATCTGGCTGTGGAGCCTGTTGGCATAATTTGAAGTGACAAGGAGCACTGCTCAGGGCTTAAAAAAATACTTCAGATCTGAATGCAGCACACATGTGGGCTATGGTAGGAACCAACCTGGAACAGGCTGTGGGGGAGTTTGCTGACCTGCTCTGCTCGGGACATGTGTCACTAACCCTTTAGCTCACCTCAGCATCCAAGGCCATGAGGGAGGGATTTGTGCTGTGAGCTGGGTTACTACCCTTCCTTATTACCCTTACTTCGTCACACAGAGGAACTGATAAAAATCACTGCTGGTGCAGCCAGGGAGCCCAGCTTCCATAAATCTCCAGCTCTGGACACTCAGGAGAGATGGGGAGCAGTAGATGGTGAGGAACAAGAGCACACAGATTGGGTCAAATGTGTAGAGAGGTCCATACCATGGTATCTGCCAGACAGGACACAGCCTCAGCAGCACAAGGTGGCCAGAAGTACTCCATGCCCCTAAAAACCCTCTAAATGCCACTGGTATTTGTGTGCATGTGGCCGTGACCTCTCTACATGTCCTTCCAGGTAAAGCAGCCACCACAAAGATCCTTTCAAAACCAGCTTTCTGTATTGTGGCTACAAAGTACTGCTCTCTCACCTGTTAACTTCCTCTCCAAACAAGCACAATATGCTGAGTTCCTGGTAATCATATCCCTCAACACATACCCTTTCCACCAAAAAAAATCACCTTGCATTGCACAGGACAGTGTTTTCCCTTGCAGGGAAGTTCTGCTGTGATAGGATGGAGAGGAGTCAATCTGGCCCAGGGACCACAGACGTTGTCCATCCATCTCACACCTGCATGCACAATCCTTCAGGCAAACTGATCTTGGGCTTCTGGAAACAGAAGAGAAAATTAAACTAAACCCTAATGTACTTTTCAACCTTGAGAACAAGTTCCTGTAACTTTAAAGTGCATTGTGTACATCCACCTCACTTCCTCACACACACAGAAACATTCTGTGACTGTATCTCAAGAGAATAAGAGGAAATGCAGTCATAAAAATCATAATATGATTCTAAACTCATGGTCTCAAAGCTGCCTTCATTTTACCATTCAAGCGTTTCCTTTCAAGACATTCTCCTCTGACATTCTACTCTCTGGAATAATGCAGAAAATCTGTGGGTATATGACACTTAGAGCAACAAGACAAATGGGCCCGGAGAGCAAAAATGCACCACTGAGATGTGCTTTCCTGAAACTTCACCACAAAGGAGAGAGGCAGAAGCAAAATAAAATTAATGTTGAGAAACACATTTGTTCTGGGCAATGAATTCTCACATTCAAGGTGTGCCAGTTGCATTCTCCATATAAAAATTACAGCTGGCAGAGAAATAACACAGGCTGGCCACCATTGTTCCTAACCTAGTGCTTAACGGTGAAGGATTACCTAACCCTCATGTTGAAAATCAAAATAAACTGCTGTCAGTTACCAACACAACACAAACATGCTGGAAGTGGAATGGAGTGTCCAAATACAACACATTTGGAGTGTGAAGGGAATCTCACTTTTACATGGCACATCAAGAAATGTCTAGATAGTCTTGAGAAGACCACACACAAGGCCCTTTAAACAACTTGATCATAAATTCTGTTGCACTAATCAGGAAAAGTGATTCTCTAGTCAAGCTCAGCCCAGTTCCTACAGCAAGTTTTTAAAAAATAGGTTAGAGCAGGATTATCAAGCAAAAGGAAACCTTAAGTAGAGTTTTAAAAAATCCCAACTTCCAAAATCCATTCAGTACACAGAACTCTTTGGAAAAACACAGCTGCACACCACGTGGGTGGAGGAAGAGGAGTGAATGAAAACTCTCATCCCATGGTTTGAGCCACTTAATGTTGAATTATTCTGGAAATGTGTGCTCTTAGCCTTGCTGTCCCTCTAGCAAAGGTGACCTTAGCACAACTCCTACCTTCCAGTCAAGAGGGAAATGAACTCCAGCAAAGGTCATTCAGACAGCACCACCCTTTGTACACCAGCTGGTAAAATACAGACCACCTAAATAAACAGCTTCCTGTTTTAGGCAGTGATTCCTGGGGAGGAAAACAGTACGCTCCTAGCTATTTTTTATGTAAAGAATCTGTGGCTAAATAGGGTATTCTTTTTCTACACTCCTGATAAAGAAGTGACCACAATAGTTTCATGTGATCTGGGTACGCCCTCAAGTCATCAGCTGTGTCCTGGGCGTATCGCCTGCTTCTTCCACCTGCTGCTCTTCACAACACGCAGGTGGCACACACACAACAGGCATTGGTTGAAAAGGACGTTCTAACCAGAAGTCAGGCGAGCAGCACCCACTGTGGCACCCTAGAAATCATGGTCTCTGTGTTTCAACATCCTTTTCCTCTTTAACACGTTTCCTTCACAGCTGTCTCCAACTTTTTTTTTTTTTTTTAACTAAAGGGGAAGAAAAGAGAAATTAAGAAAGCTGTTTCATTCTCCAATACTGTGTGTTTTCCAGGTCCACTTTAAACCTTATTCCACAGAGCAGGAGTGGGGGGACAAGGTAGCCCATAGGGAGAACACCTTCTTTTCCAGGAGAAGGACACATGCTTCCCTCCCCTATGCTGGAGCAGCCTGGAGAGGAGAGAGAGCCAAATCAGGAGCAGGAACGAACAAACACGACCATGAAAAATGCTGTCACAAAGTCAGACAGGAAACAAGTTCACAAACTGGGCTGCAGCTGAACCACAGCAAAATGTCTTTGCAGCACAGCACTTCCCCGTGTCCATGTGGGTACTCTGCCTGTCCAGGGCAGGAGGGACCCCCAAACCCCACCTCAGGCCCAGCTGCTGCTCTGGCCATCCCATACCTGCAGTCACAAGGGCAGCAACCGAGCAGGGAGGAGCCTCAAATTCCAACACAATTCAACACCTCCCAAAACACCTGCTTGTATCGTGTATACCATGGACTTTTGGATAAGTCAGATATTTGTCTGGGGAAAGATACCCAGCAATGATACCAACAGTCTTACCTTACACTAGCTTGAAGTTTTAGTTAGCTTTGTCTAAACTGACAAATTTTTTTTGGCAAAGTTAGTCCTATGAGGAACTATACAAGAAAGAGGTAAGTGAGA